ATGAGATAGATTCAGTTTCTGGCCTCCCGTGGCTTTCAGGTCTTTAAGCAAAACAGATGAATTTGTCCAAGGTCACAGAACTACTCAGTGGTAGGTCTGGGACACAAACCGAAGTCCTTCTGACTTGAAACCTGTGTTCTTATCCATCCTCCTCTCTGCCGCCACAGCCCCAGTCATAGATATCTCCTTGTCGTGATAATCTAAGAAGGGGTGTGAAGGAAATGCTTTAAATATCCTGGTGGTGGTGATGAGGAGTAGACGTATTATAATTATCCCTTGTGTTTAGGACAAAGGACACTGCCTGCTGTCCTCCATCTTCACCACAGCACAGCCCACCCCACCTGCTAAGCATTTTGCAGAAGCTGTGGATGACAGATTGTCTGGCATTCTGACACTGGCCAATCAATAAAGCTGGAAGGTGCCTCAGGCCAAGGGCAATTGAATCCCAACCTTTTAGTGGTATTAAATAAAGCGATATTTATTTTGCTTTTGGTGCAAATATACATAATCCAATCCAGCTCATTGGGCGTGCTGAAAAACTGCTGCACTTGAGGGACAATTGCATGCAAATCCCATACATCTCCGCTTGTCAATGCCACCCTTCCAGGAGCATGCAGCCCCACAGTGCTCAGAACAAGATTGATCTGGAGCCACCAAGCTGCCTTTTTTTATATCCTTTACAGGAGATGAAATGGAAATTATAAGAGGGGAATTAAAATCATTGCTCTCATTCTAGCTGCCATTATTGCAACAGGGATGAGGCATGATGCCCTTCATGAGATAGAGCTATTTATTTGCCATTCGAATAATGTTCTCTGGAACCACTGCATCTCTGCCTTTGGGCAGAGGAGGAAGAGACCAGTACAGTACAGGAAAGAGCAAAAGTGTAGCTTAGTATCTCTTTCGTAGATCACACAATCTTGCTAATGGCTAGAGGGACCTCAAAGAGTCACTGTAGAACACCCTGGCATCAATAAAACCTAGGTTCAAATCCCAACTCTATATCCTAGCAATTGTTAAGTGACCTTCCCAAGGTCAAATCTCTCTTGCATTTTATTTGCTCTTTTATAAAATGGGGATAAATAATTCCTACCTCATTTGGTTATTGTGTCCAGCATATAATAGGTATTTAACTATTTTTCAAAATATATCTTCGAGTAATAATCTAAACCTTGTTTGCAAACCTTTAGGACATTTGTTTATGCATTTATGCAACTATTCATTCACTCATTCAATAGATATAGTGAAACTTCTCTGTACTTCGGTCCATAGTAGATAAGTTGGAGTGGAGGTAGACAAGATGACTTAGACATAGTCCCTGTCTTCACTGGGCTCACAGTCTGGAAGAAGAAAGGATACTCAAGAGTATGTTCATTTCAAGAGAAAGAAATTATATGTTATACAGTCATATATACATTTGGATTTTCTTGAATGGTCCTAATGTCAAATACTCTGTCTCGTTGGTGCCATTAACAGCTCCATCTATGTCATAACATGGGTCCTGATGGTGAGCTCATTCAGATATTTCATCTTAAAAATAAGTAACAAAATAGAAGAGCACCAAGGAGACCCAAGAGTTCACATTTGATGACTAACTTGGCAATCACAGGAGTGAGAGACTGACATCTTGTCCATTCCCCTGTCTTTAGACAGCTTATTTGGGTCCTGAAACCACTGAAGAGAAAGAGCCTGCACCAGCCTTGCACTTCTGGTGCTTACAGCCGAGTTAGGGAAACAAGCATAGCACATGAGTAGCCTGTTTGAAATAGGTATAATTTCCAACCATTCTCGCTTCCCTGACTTTGCACATGGTCACACCCTCTGCCTGGAATACTCTCTCATGCCTTGACTCTTGGCACACTGTTATCCCCTCCTCAAAGCTAGAGCAACTTGAAGTCTGCTAGAGGCAAAGATTGGGTCCCATGTAAATCTCAAATGTTGAAGGATGAATGCCCAGGCTACACCAATAAACCAAGCTCTTGGCAAATAAAAATGCATGCAATTAATGTTAAGATACTGATTGACAATTTAGTATTTCTTTAAAAAACTGTATCGATCCTTTTTTTAAAGACTATTTTGTTTTCTTTGTATTTAACTTTATTAGAAAGGTATGCTTCCTCCAAGTCTCTAACTTAGGGAGTAAAGCCACTATTGGTGTTTTAGAATCTTATGAGAGAGCTGGAAGAGAGACCAGTTAGTGAAATATGACTCCCTTGTTTTACAAAGAGTATGAAGTCTAGGGAAGCGAGGTGACTCTCCCAAGATGATAGAGATTTTATGCTACACAAACAGGGAGCATCTGGCTCTTCTGTTTTCTGTAGTGGGAGGAAAGGAACAATCACAGTCTCATCACCTTGTAATGATGGAGGAGCAAATCCCCTTCCACGCCATCTAATTAAAGAGATGTTGGACATTCTCCTCCTGCCCCCACCTCCACACAAACAGAGAGATGCCTATTACATTAGGAAGAAGCAGAGCATGGATATAAACTCAGCTCTGCCTGATACCCAGACTGGCGGAAAAGGTAGGATGTTACCCCCAGTCAGTGCTGTCTGCTGTCCACTCCAGCAACCTGTGGACTGAAAACTTAGTCCATGTCGCTCATGTAGGTTGTCGCATAAAACAATCATAAAACATTTTTGAGCTGCTATTATGTGCCAGAACATGTGCTAAGTTAAGTTAGTTACATGTGTTATGTCATTTAATGCTCACAACATTGTCCTGAATTATAAATGGACATAAGTTTGTGAGCATATCTTCTTTCTCCTGCTGGACTATGTTTCTTGAGGGCAGGGGATGTCAGAAGGCTTGTCTACCAATCCTGATGTCACCTCTTTTTCAAGCAAGTTGTTTATAACCTCTTTGTGCTTCAGCTTCCACGTCTGTAAAATGTGAATAACAATAGAGTCTCCCTCATAAGGTTAACCTAGATAAAGTATTTTGGACTCAGTAAAGTACTTAATTCTTGAGGCAGAGTAATGTTAGTAACTGCTTGATTGTGTTCCCTTGATGGTAATGGTGATGCTGCTGTAACCCGTATATAGAGCTATCTCTGTTCTCACTACGATCAATGAGAAGCCAACATCAGCACTTGGTTGGTCTAAAATACAGCAAATCGAAGACAAAATAACAAAACTCCTTGCCAGGCATTCAAGGCTCATCTCCTTCTACAGCTTCCCCAGTACCACCTCCTCACCACATACTCTCTGATTCAGTCAAATCAAATTGTCCACCATTCTCCCAATATCCTAGGTGGTTTCACAGTCCCTTTTTTTTGCTTACACTTTTCTTTCTGCTCCCAACTCGAATGACTTGTCCTCAATGAAGCCTTTCCGCATATGTCCCCACGAAACATTAGTTATTCTCCTACAGGGTTCCCGTCATGCTTATTTTAAGTAATAGGGGGACATTATTATTATCTACCCACCATCCCTACCCCAACCATCTCAAAGGAGAGGTGGATTCTCAATAGAGTCCTTTATTTTTATGAGTAGGGTGATAGATGGGAATGCAAATTTCATAAGCTGAGAGGTGGTTAAGTTGTATTGCTTAAAGAAATAGAGAAAGGAGCTTGGAAGATAAGATAGGAAAGTAAAATAGTGAGAGAGAGGGATAGAGAAGAAAAAAGGGGACAACTTGGGTTGAGAAAGAGGAGAGAGGAATATGGCCATTATGAGTTTTGAATCTGGTGAAAACCGCATAGGTGATGGAGAGCCATAGATGAATCTTGATCAGGAAGGCAAGATGGATCAGTGTGGGAGACATTCTGGGATTAGGGCGAGGAAGGTAATTTGAATTGTGAGCGAGTACAGAGTTTCTGGACATTAACTTCAGCCTGGGCTGCCCTGGTGAGTGCCTACATACAGTATGTGCAGGCCCAGCAGATGGAGACATGGGGACAGAGACCTGGATGAGGTACCTCTTCGAAGTACAAGCAGGGCTTTGAGCAGATCTGGAGCAAGAAAAGGAGGAAGAGGGAGAGGAAGAGAATCAGAGGTTATGGTCGAACTTGCCCTAGTGAAATTCTTTAATGTGCCCAAGAGAGAGTATGGAGAAGGTGGGCGGAATAGCTTTCACCAAGCAGGTGACATTCAATCAATGACTTGAAATAAGTGAGAGTGAGTCATTCGGATACCTGGAGGGAGAGAATTCCAGGCAGGAGGAGAGCCTGCACAAAAGCCCGAAGGCAGGATGCACCGGGCGTGTTGGAGGAAAAGAGAGGAGGCCCGTGTCTGGCACAGAGAAGCAAGAGAGATGGTGGTAGGAACTGATGTGAGAGGGGTCAGTGAGGATGGACCACATGGGGGCTTGTGGCTTGTTGTAAGGACTTCAGCTTTTACTCTGCATCTAACAGGGAACCACTTGAGCACAGAGAAAACAACACCATCTGACTTATGGGTTAAGAGGATCACACTGGCTATTATGTGGAAAGTGGGGGGTGGGGGAATAGGGTAAAGGCGGAGTGGGAGGGTGCAAGAGTGGGAACAAGGAGACAAGGTAAGAGATTATATTACAATGCTCCAAACCTTGGTCCAAGCTCAAGGTGATATCAGTGGAGGTGATTCAAAGGTGTTGGGTTCTGAATATATTTTGAAAGTAAAGACAATAGATTACCTATGGGTGTAAGAGGAATAAAGAAACACCAGTGGTTTTTGCCTGAGCATTTCTTTCTAGGGCCCTGTATAGGAGATGTGCATGAATCTGTGGTCTCGGAGCATGGGCACTCAAGTGAGACTGCTCCAGAGAAATATTTTCGAACCTTTCTGTGACTCAGTTTCTTCTTGTGTAAAGTGAGAATTATAATTGTAGTGACCTCATAGGGTCACTGAAAGCATTAAATGAATTAATACACGTGAAAAAGCTTAAAAATGTCTCTGGCAAAAAAAAAATAAATGCTAAGGAAGTGACATAATGACTGTTCCTATTCCTAAGTGTATTTTGATAAATGAGAAACTTGGCTTGTCCCGTTTATACTGACTCTGACTTTGGGTACTACCTAGGTGCTCTCTGATGGGATTTGACCTGAACCGTCACTGGCTGGATCCTTCTCCATGGGCCCACCCTACCTTGCATGGGGTGAAACAACTCATCATCCAGATGTACAACGACCCAGTGAGTAACTGAATCCCTCGGCAGCTGCTGGTCTTTATGGCTTGTTCTGAGAAAAGGCAGTTTTGTACTGGGGAAGTTCAGTAAGAGCTGCATGCACATTAGCAATCCAGGGCCAAAATCACAGAGGGCTAAAATCACTGCTTGTCTCTTCTCTGAATTGGACAGATCCAAGCGTCTTTCCCCACCCCTCACAAATACTGGATTCAGTCGTGGAGGTCTTGTGGGATGAAGGAAATATACTAGAACAGATACACATTTGTCAGGGCTCTTTGATTACAAGCAAAAGAGATCATTTAAGAAAAATAGAGAATGTATTAGAAGAATGCCAAAGTATCTCATATAATTGAAGACCATAGACTGGCCTCCTCTACCTGTAGGGAGCATGTGCCAATTGTCACATCCAGTTGCTCCCACCACTAGAGAGTGACTTACTCTCATCTATGAGTTCCAGTTCTAAAAGGACTATGATTGGCCCAGCTTGGAGGACTTGTTCACCTCTGGGCAAGTCGACTCTGGCCCAAGAGGCAAGGATATGTAAGGACAGAATAGATAGCCTCACTGGTTGGACTTGGGGTGAGTGGTGGCAATGGCAAACCAGCTCCCAGAGAAGAGGGCCTGCTCTTCCAGAAAGAAGGGGAACAATGGGAGTCCACACTGAGTTTGCTCAGAAGAGCGGGACTTTGTAAGAAATAGAAGACACTGGGGTTTCATAACTTAGAGAAAGGAGGTCGACCATGATCATTCTATCTCCGAAGAGCTGTCAGAGAGAACAGGGCAGTCATCTTTCAAGTGGAGACCAAAGGAAGAGGTAAGGCCTATAGAGAAATAGCATTTCTTAACAATTAGAGCTGCCTGAGAATGAAGTAGGTATATAAACTGTGAACTTTGGCTTACTAAAAGTGTTCGACTGGAAGCTAAATGACACTGTCAAAAATGGTGTATAGAGAAGACTCGACTGTTTAGAAGACGTTGTAGTGAGATTACATCGGAGTCTCTTTCCCACATTGACGACTGTGATTTCGTGATCCCCTTGACTGACAACAGGTGACACATAGTGATTGCTAAGAGTTGGGGTATTTCAGAGAGACATTGGTGTAACTCTTTGAAGAAGCCAATAAAAATTACCTAAATTAAAAAACAACATATATATTAACCAGACAGAAATGTGTACTTAAAAATAAATGCATATATTAGAGCAAGGATTAATGAAAAAGTAAATACTTAGGTGTAATGTAGCTAATTCAACTGTTGTCTTGATACTCCTTGAACTTGGCTCTCCTAGGTCTTTTTTATAGCCCACCTGCTGTGTCATTTCTTGTGTAGCCATATAGCTTTAGTGTATTTGCTTCCTTTTCCAGCACATCCTTCCTTGTCTACAAAAGAAGGTATTATCTGTGCTCACCAAACCCCTTTACTACCCTGAACTCTCAATGCCATCCTGATCAGCTTTCTTGGCAGAGAGAAGCTGCTTCTGAATTTCTCAGGAAGGATCTGTTGTCTGCTGGCTTCTGCCAAACGCCCCTGCCTCCACCTCGGCATTGACTGAAGTTTTCCTGATAGAATCACAGTGCTTTCTTTTTCTGCCATCTCTTCTCGGAGAGAACAGCCCCTACAATTTTTTTCTGACCTGGCTGATAATAGATATTCAATAACTATTTGTTGAATTGAATTAGATTGAACATGGCAAATCCTCTTATGCAAAATGTACTATGGTGTATAGACACAAAACAGTTATTCACAGGGAGGACAATGAGGCATGATAAAAGAAAAGACACAGACAGGCAGGAGAAGTGACAGACACCGAACAAGTGGTGTTTTAGGTGAATCCCGAGGAGAGAACTGTGGAGTGAAGGGGCGGGGAAGAACCAAGGGAGGAAGGTTAGGTTTGCTAAAGAGAAGAGGCTTCAGCCTGCCAATGCCATCCTCAGAAGTCACTGATTTTTTTTCACAAACAACTGGGCACTCGCCCATGTCACAGAACGTAGAGGAGATAAGATTGAATTACAGAGATGTTAGGCATCTCTTTTGTGCCATGAATGGTCATCAGCTGGCTGGTCTTAATAAACACACTTGGATGCTGAGCTGGTTGTGTAAGCTATATTCTTCTGGAAAGTCCACTCCTTTATGCCCCAAGCAAGAACATGGAGCACTAATATCGGAGTCAGGCTGACCTGGAACAGGATCCCAACTCCCTCCATCTCTTCCTCTCTTCCCTCCTTCCTCTATCCTGGCCCATTCTTTTATTCCATTCTTTCCTTCCTTCTTTCCATAAATGTTTATCAAATATTTTCTATATACAATTCACCGTGGTTCTAATGGTGAAAAAACCCCTAACCCTTGCAATCTAGTGGAGAAATAGATATTAAATAAGAAAATACTGATAACTATAGACTTACAAATTGTGTCAGGGGTTACCAAAAAAAAGCATACCAAATGTGACCTATAGGTAGGATGCTTGTAAGTTTCAGCTTGCCTTGGGGCAGTTCTGGCTCATACCTGTTGTTCTGGAGTATTTGTCAATACTGCTCCCTTTCCTCTTAAAAATGCCACTTATCTTTGCAGATAAATGTTTTCAAGTTTTTCAGGTAAATACCCAGAAGAGAGTATTTCTATGCTTAGTATTTTGAGGACCCTACTGTTAACAGAGACTCATAGACATGGACAATGGATTAGTCATTACCAGAAGGAAGTGGTGAGGGAGGAGGTCGATAGGGTAAAGGGGGTCAAATATTTGGTGCCAGAGGAAATTAAATTTCGGGTGGTGAACACACATGCAATATATCTATGACATATTATTGAATTGTACACTTGAAACATATTTGATTTTATTAACCAATTTCACCTCAATAATTTTAATTTTAAAAAGTGTCCCAGTTTGGGTGATAAATTACAGTCTCTCTACTTAAAAGCTATGTGCAAGCACCTAGAACAGTACCTGATATATAGCAGATGCTCAGCGAACATTATTTGGATTTGATTCAAACTCACATTTGACTTTAAGAGTCATCTGGGCCAGTTGCAAACACGTCAGTGCCCTGAGGTATCTGCCCTAATAGCTTTAAATGAGTTCCTACTCCTGACCTTCACTGTCACATAGTCATCACAGTAGCTCAGCCCGGAGCTATCTAAACTGCCCAGGGAACTTCTGGCTTTGTTTCTAAATGTTCACAGCCTCACCCCTTCTATCCCACTGGGCTTTTGTTCACAGATCAGCAAACAGAGAATCAGCAAGACCCTCCCTGATGGGCAAGGATGTGTCTCTGAGTGCTGTGGTTCCTCACTGACTTCCTTCGGGCCCTGTGCTGGGCGCCGGGAATAATCAGAACTGGAGTCCACCCTAAGGAGTTCCAGCCAGGTGAAGAGAGGCATTTACAGATAGTTATTCTGGGTGCGTTTGCAGAGAAAGGTGCAGGGGTTGTGAGAGCCCATAGAAGGAGCCCATAGAAGGAGCCCAACCCAGGAGGCCGCACCTGAGTTGATGCATGAAGGACGCCTAGGGCAGGGAGGGCCTTCCAGGCAGAGGAGACATCTGTGCATCTGCCATGAGAGGGGGCACCCTCAGGAGACTGCAAGTCATTCAAGTGTGGCTGGTACTGGGGGCAGACAGAGGAGCAGAGGAAGGTTATGATACAGGGAGCAATTTGGACTTTATTCTCAGGAATGGGAGCCACTGAAAGATTTCAAGCAGGGGAGTGACAGGATCATTTGCATTACAGAAAGATCTCTCTGGTGCCTGTAAGGAGGTGGATTTGGAGGGTGCCAGGCTACAGGCTGGAGACCATGGGAGCTTGCCGCCGTCGGGTTGGAAGGGAGAAGTCTAGAGCTATTACAGAGGGAGACATGAGTGGCTTAGTGACTGTAGCTGATGGGAGAAGGGATCTTGCATGATGCCCATGGTTTGGCTTGGACAGCGGAGTGGATGCGGTGCCGTTGCTGAGATAGGAACCCAGGAGGAACAATAGGCATGGGACAAGCTTTAGACTTGCTGACTTTGAAATTGGGCAGGGGTGATATGTCCAACATGCACTGTGAGTCTCCTGGAACGAGCCCTTTGGTGTCCTTGTCTTCTGGCAACAGGAACCTGCTGTCTTGTGTTAATGATGGCATTTACTTAAGAGGCCGCTTTCCTAGTCCTGTGCTCACCAAATCCTTCGTCCCTCTCAGAGTCTTGGATGTTAAGTGATGATCTTGACAAAGGAGTGTTTAACCCAGAGGACTATGCTAGATCTCAGATAGAAAGTGTTTTCTGTCCCATTCCCAGGGCAGCTCTCTGTGGACAGTGTGGCCCTTGTTCACTGACTGTGATCGATTGGCCCCCCGGGGCAGAGTCTGGCTGATTCATCTCAGAGCCCAGTGCCCAGCAGGGACCCGGCTCTGAGCAGGTACTCATCTGAGCAAATGGTGAAGCCAACCCAGAGCCTCTGTGATTTGGTTTTTATAAGATTCTCCTGATGCAAAGCAGCAGCTGAGCCACAGACCCCTCCCCAAACTCCCTTCCTCCTCAGAGTATCCCGGGTTCTGCCTCCACCATCACTGTGCCCCCCCTTAAGGCTCTGGTCTGTGTATACAAAGCATCGCCTGGGTTCCCCTGCAATCTGCTGAGATTGTCCAAAACTCCCAGGGACAGAACCTGAGATGGCATCAGCCACTCTCATCCCCATGACACAGGTTTCTGATCATCTTCACTAACTTGCTTCACCCCTGGCCTCAGTGCCTCCCCATTCTACCCACCGCTGACTTTGGTACCTTGGGGGGAGAGAAGACCAGGGAAGCCAGTTCCACCTCTGCTCTACATCCATATCCCTCCTTCCCACACTGGTGTTAGGTTTGAGCTCTACTCTTCCTTAGGTAATTAGCACCAGAAAGGCCATCGCCTTTCGGCTGAGAGCTCACACTCTGCCTACAGGAGTTTGGCTTTATCCTAACATACACACCATAGAGTATGACACTGACTTCACATCACACCATCAGCCACACAACCAGAGTCACTCACACAAGAG